CTTTTTTTTCTTTCCTTCTCTCCTTCCTTTCTTTCTTCTCTACCCCTTTCCTTCCTTCCTCTCCCTTTTTCTTTCTCTCCTTTCTTCCTTCTCTACCTATTCTTGGACTTTAACTCCCAGCAGTCCTCCTGATTGATCTACCTACCTACTATCCATCTCTATCTAATCTATATATCTTGTCTATCTGGAGGATTGCTGGGAGTTGCAGTCCAGGAATAGGAAAAAGGAAATATGAACGGATTGGGATGCTCTCAAAGAAATCCAAGGAGAAGCAAGTTTGCAACTTGGAAGCAGTGCATTTGGAGCATCCTCCTCCCCTAAAGGGCCTGGTCTAGGGGATGCTGGGAGTTGTCATTTTCGCACATGTGCTGTATTGTCATTTAGCTTTTGGGGTTTTTAAAGTCCTTTCCGCTATATTTTGGGAGGGGTTTATGAGTGATGGTCTGTTAGGGGTCTAGTATCCAAATTCCATGTCAATTTGTCTGGTGGTTTTTGAGTTATGTTAATCCCACAAATGAACATTACATTTTTATTTATTTAGATCAGGTGTCCGCAAACTTTTTAAACAGAGGGCCAGGTCACAGTCCCTCAAACTGTTGGAGGGCCGAATTATAATTTGAAAAAACATGAATGAATTCCTATGCACACTGCACATATCTTATTTGTAGTGCAAAAAACACTTAAAACAATACAATAATTAAAATGAAGAACAATTTTAACAAATATAAACTTATTAGTATTTCAATGGGAAGTGTGGGCCTGCTTTTGGCTGATGAGATAGGATGGTTGTTGTTGTTGTTGTGTGCTTTCAAGTTGTTTCAGACTTAGGTTGACCCTGAGCAAGGGCTGGGCAAATGACCTTGGAGGGCCATATCCAGTCCCCAGGCCTTAGTTTGAGGACCTCTGATATGTGGACAATTTCAACAGAAAGGAAGAAACCATGAAAATGAACAAAATCTGGCTACTAGTATTAAAAAACTCAAAAATTACAACAGCAAAACAACAGAGGGGAAACAAACAGGCACATAAAATCACTCTCAACAAAAGATTCCCCCCAGGCACTTCCAAGCCATTGAATGCTAATCAAGGTGATCAGCTGAAACATTCACAGCTAGCCCCAGCAGACAAAAGTCCTTTGTCTCACCCTGGTCATTCCACAAATATATAAACCCATTTTTCCTACTTCCAACAGACCTCACTACCTCTGAGGATGCTTGCAGGCGAAACGTCAGGAAAAAAAATGCCTCCAGAACATGGCCATTTAGCCCGGAAAAACCTACAACAACCCAGACCTCTGATATAGCTGGAAAAAAGAAACACTAGTGTATTATTAAGAGTGAGTCTGCTAGAAAGCTCGATTTCTGTGCTAATTTCTCCTGTTTCCTGTTAAAACTACATTAACATGTTACATTTTTTCTCACTGTAGCCTTGACATAATAAATCTGGTAGCTGCTTTACCAGATGCTATAGGCATGAGTTGCTACAATGGTGTTAAAAGATTTCACCCTAAATTAAGTGCAAATGTTTATCAAAGTATCTGAAACCATATGTGACGACTGCCTAGTTTTGTGTATTTCTGGATATTATGCTATGCTGAAAGCTCCAGAGATGTTGATGCCTTGGGGTTATTGCAGTGGTCCTAACATGGTTGTAGTCAGACATCCTAACTTAGGCTACAAAATCAACATAATGTCATAGGTCTTCATCTCCTATTGGTTTGTATGGCTTAACGATTTTTGTTATTGTTAGCACTGTGTTTTCAAAAGGCCAAGCTTTTATTCCTGTAATTGGCACTGTTTGTTTGTTATTTAAAATTGTTTGTAGAATTACAAGATTGTTATCATGAGCAATAGTCAGTTCATTTCTTGACCTTACAAATTTACCTCCAATTGTCCTGTGGGGGTTGAAAGATGAATAAATTAAAATAAGGTGAGGTATAATACTGGATTAAATACCAGTAGAATCAAAGAATCATAGAGCTGAAAGAGACCACATGGGCCATATAGTCCAACTGCCTGCCATGTAGGAAAAGTACAATCAAAGTACCCTCAACAGATGGCCATCCAGCATCTATTTAAAAGCTTCTAAGGAAGGAGCTTTCACCACACTCTGAGGCAGAGAGTTCTACTGCTGAACAGCTTGTACTGTCAGAAAGTTCTTCCTAATGTTCAGGTGCAATCTCCTGTCCTGTAATTTGAACCCATTGCTCTGAGTCCTAGTTTCCAGGGAAGCAGAAAACAAGACTGCTTTTTCTTTCCTGTGAAATCCTTTCATATATGTTTCACAAGTAGCTCAAGTCACAGTTTCTCAAGTCGCTCCTGACATGGATATAGATAGATAGATAGATAGATAGATAGATAGATAGATAGATAGATAGATAGATAGATAGATAATGTAATGTGCATTTGTGGGATTAACATAACTCAAAAACCACTGGGCAAATCAACACCAAATTTGGACACAATACACCTATCAGGCCAACAAGTGACCATCACTCATAAAAACACTGAAAAAAACAGCAGAAGAGACTTAAATGCCAAAAAAATACATTACAACGCATGAACAAAACCACATGTATACACAAATATATACACACACAAAACACATATACACAGACTGGGCCACAGCAATGTGTGGCAGGGGATGGCTTGTGTGTGTGTGTGTGTGTGTGTGTGTATGGCTATCATTTCTCCTCTCAACCTTTTTTTCGGCAGGCTAAGCAGAGCAATGGCCAATCTCAATAAAATAGTGAAGATTAGAGACATCACACTGGCAACAAAGATCCGCATAGTTAAAGCAATGGTATTCCCTGTAGTATGGATGTGAGAGCTGGACCATAAGGAAGACTGAGCGAAGGAAGATAGATGCTTTTGAACTGTGGTGTTGAAAGAAAATTCTGAGAGTGCTTTGGATGGCAAGAAGATCCAGCCAATCCATACTTTAGGAAATAAAGCCTGACTGCTCATTGCAGGGAAGGATATTAGAGGCAAAGATGAAGTACTTAGGCCACATAATGAGAAGACAGGAAAGCTTTGAGAAGACAATGATGCCGGGGAAAATGGAAGGAAAAAGGAAGAGGGGCCGACCAAGGGCAAGATGGATGGATGGCATCCTTGAAGTGACTGGCTTAACTCTGAAGGAGCTAGGGATGGTCATGGCCGACACCGTGCTTCAGCGTGGGCCGGTCCATGAGGTCACGAAGAGTTGGAAGCAACTAAACAAATAATAATAATAATAATAATAATAATAATAAACTTTATTTATACCCTGCCACCATCTCCACAGAGAGGACTCAGAGCGGCTTACATGAGGCCAAGCCCAGTGATATATTATAGCAAAATAAATACAGAACAGCAAAAATAACATCACAATAAAATAAGTAAATCACACAGGTAAAATAAAACAGTGTAAAATAACAAAGTGAAAAATCAAACACAGTGGGTGGGCCAAATGTACAATATAAAATGAAAAAGCTCWGGATGAGATAACAATTAAAAGGTATATTTGTAAGGGAGGAGCTTGAAGGGGACGGAACAGTGGAGTCAGGCCTTCAATAAGGTCGGGGGGGGGGGAGTGCAATATGAGGACAACATTGTGGGAGAAACAACAGGAAAGGAATATATGGTCCCTCTCCAAAGGCACACCGGAAGAGCCAAGTTTTTAAATCCTTCTTGAAGGCTGCTAGGGTGGGAGCTTGCCTAATCTCACCAGGTAGTGAGATTTCCACAGTAGGGGGGGGGGGGCACAGTGGAGAAGGCTCTCTCCCTCGTTCCCACAAGTTGTGCCTGTGATGGAGGAAGGGGCGAAACGAGGGTCTCCCCGAGGATCGAGGATCGAAGACATCATGCAGGTTTGTGGTAGGAGATGCGGTCACGAAGTAGGTGGGTCCCAAACCGTTTTGGGCTTTATAGTTGATAACCTGCACCTTGAATTGGCCCATGCCAAAGCGTGCTGTCTGCCGTGACCATCTCCAGCTCCTTCAGAGTGACAACTCCAACTCAACCCCTGTTTGGGTATCAGCCAGCACGTCAACGACTTAAATCAAGAAATAGCTTTCTAAGATCTACAGGGACACTCGCTGGAACACCCCAGCAAGTCAGAGTCCAAAAGTGGCAGGCTCAAACCCAGAACCTCAATCAATGGCTGATACCAAATGAGAGACTCCCCACTGGGAACACAGAAGACCGGGCGACTTGAAAGGCGCTGAACAAACTGCACTCTGGCACCACTAGATGCAGAGCCAACCTCAAGAAATGGGGCTACAAAGTAGAATCCACGACATGTGAGTGTGGAGAAGAGCAAACCACTGACCACCTGCTGCAATGCAACCTGAGCCCTGCCACATGCACGATGGAGGACCTCCTTGTGGCAATACCAGAGGCACTCCAAGTGGTCAGATACTAGTCAAGGAAATTTAATCAACTACCAAGCTTGCAAATTTTGTGTTTTGTCGGTCTGTTTGTTTGTTTTGTTAAAAATGTAATGTCATCTGGTTGCTGATGACACGATAAATAAATGACCTTGAATTGGGACCTGAAAATGATTGGCAGCCAATGGAGCTCCTTAAACAGGGGGGCAGACTGCTCCCTGTAATTCGCCCCGTTAGTAGTCTGGCTGCTGAACGTTGGACCAATTGGAGTTTCCGGGCTGTCTTCAAGGGAAGCCCCATGTAGAGTGCAAAAAACAACAACAAACATGCCCCCACTTCATTTTTATTTCCATTCTTTGAAACAACACAATTCTCTCCTTTCCCACTGCAGAGCAAAACTTTCCCACTGCAGAGCAAAACCTCACTACCTCTGAGGATGCTTGCCATAGATGCAGGCGAAACGTCAGGAGAAATGCCTCTAGAACATGGCCCTATAGCCCGAAAAAACCCACAAGAACCTAGTAAAACTTGGCGTGACTCCCTCCCCTTTCCACCTATCCTCCCCTCTCCAAGTCAGAGTAAGTGTTCCGATCCCATAAGGTCCAGAGGAGAAGCTTACAGGAGCAGCAGCCGCCGCCGGCTGAGAAGGCGAAAAAGAGCTGTCTGGGGCTGTGCATAGATTATGCAAAGCAGCCGAATCCCATGCCTTCCCGGCCAGGGCGAGTGGGGGGCGCCCGCCCCTCGGTCTAGGTGAATACATTATGCTAATGAGCCCCCGCCAGAGGTCCTGGCAAGCGCTGGAAAGCGGCGTGCGCGGCGAACAGTCCGGAGAAGCAAGCGAGAGGAAGGCAGAGGAGGAGGAGGAGGAAGCAGCGGCTCCTGTTCCTGACAGCCTGCCGCTCCTGAGATCGCCTCGGCGGGCAGGGGGCTGCAAGGACCGGAGGGGAAGCGGGCCCGAGCCATAGCTGCCGCCTGGGACACCCCACTCGAGGTAGAGGGCGAGTCTTGGAGTGCACCAAGAACTAGAGAAAAGAAGAAGAGGCAAAAGAAGCAACAAGTCCTCCTTGGGAAGAAACTCACACCTGGGAACAGGGAAGGGGCTGATAGAGATCTAGATCTAGATTGGGCAGAGAGCTCTTCTCTCAAGGGTCCCCTTGGATGCGAAACATTTAGGAGGCGAGATTCGGAAACCTTGCCATGAAGCCTGCGACGCGCGCCGCATTTCTGCACTGAAAGTTGCGCGCCCGGCTTGGATTTTCCCTCTTTGCCTTTGCTTGCTATCCCTGGTCTTTTGGTGGCCGGGGGACTACAAGGAGGAGGAAGAAGTAGAAGAGGGGAAGGAGTAAAGGAGGCAAGGGAGCCCTCTCTTTCCTTTCCCACCTCAGCATGGGGAGCCAAAAACCCGACGCCGGGGGTCAGGATGCCAAGGGGAAGGCCCAGCGCTGCTTTGGAGACCCCAACTGGACTGCTCCCCTGGCCTGGCTCCTGGCTGCCTCCCTCCTCTCGGGAATCTCCATCGGTGCCTCTGTGTATCTGGGAATCAAGACCGCTGACCTTCAAGTCAGGGTCTCGACCATCGAGAGTGCCCGAGGGGACATATCTGCTGATGCTGCTGCTTCTTATCTGACCCTGCCGGGCTATTCTTTGGATCAGCTGAATTCACTGGTGCAGGACAAAGTGGAGCGGCTTCTGGCTCAGGTATGTGCTGCTCACTGAGGTTGAGCCTAAGGCTGCATCTACACCAGCCATGGGCAAGCTTTGGCCATTCCTCCAGGTGTTTTGGACTCCAACTCCCACCATTCCTAACAGCCTCAGGACCCTTCCCTTCCCTCCTCAGCCACTTAAGCCCCTTGAACCCCACCAACGAGAGAATTGGGCCAAGCTTTCCACACAGAATCCCATGACCAAGAGAAAATACTGTAGAATCATAGAATGATAGAGTTGGAAGAGAGCTCATGGGTCATCCAGTCCAACCCCCTGCCAAGAAGCAGGAAAATTCCATTCTAAGCACCCCAGACAGATGGCTATCCAGCCTCTGTTTAAAAGCCTCCAAAGAAGGAGCCTCCACCACACTCCAGGGCAGAGAGTTCCACTGCTGAACACCTCTCACAGTCAGGAAGTTCTTCCTAATGTTCAGATTCCTAATGGAATCTCCTTTCTTGTAGTTTGAAGCCATTGCTCCGCACCCTAGTCTCCAGAGCAGCAGAAAACAAGCTTGCTCCCTCCTCCCTGTAACATCCTCTCACATATTTATACATGGCTATCATGTCTCCTATCAGCCTTCTCTTCTTCAGGCTAAACATGCCCAGCTCCTTAAGCCGCTCCTCATAGGGCATGTTTTCCAGACCCTTGATCATTTTAGTCACCCTCCTCTGGACACATTCCAGCTTGTCAATATCTCTCTTCAATTGTGGTGCCCAGAATTGGACACAGTATTCCAGGTGTGGTCTAAGCTGCTCTTCATAGGGCTTGTGTTTTCTGATGGTCTTTGGCAACCCATCTGACACCCCCTTGCGACCCCCTCCCAGGGGTTCCGATCCCCAGGTTGAGAAACATTGACTTAGGTGATCCCTCGTAAGCACTTAAGCAGTGGAGAGAGAAAAGGAAAGGGCTTGAGGTTGTTAGAAATGGTGGGAGTTAAAGTCCAAAACACCTGGACAGCCTAAGTTTGCCCCTGCCTGATCTTACTTACTTATAGACTCATCACACTAGAGAATGAATCCACTTTACGTCTGGTTTCTGCCTCCTGCAGAATTCTGGGGTTTGTAGTTTAGTGGGACTCTTAAAAGCTCCTCCCTAAACTACAAACCCCAGAATTCTGCAGGAGGCAGAAACCAGATTTAAAGTGGATTCATTCTCTAGTGTGATAAGGTCTTTTAGGCCAGTGATTTTCAACCTTCCTAATGTGCGACCCCTTAATACAGTTCCTCATGTTGTGGTGACTCCCCAACAATAACATTATGTTCGTTGTTACTTCATAACTGTAATTTTGCTACTTTTACAAATCGTAATGTAAATATCTGCTATGCAGGATGTATTTCCATTCACCAGACTAAATGGGGCACAAATATCCGATACGCCCAAATTCAAATACTGGTGAGGTTGTTGGGGGATTGATTTTGTCATTTGGGAGTTGTAGTTGCTGGGATTTCTAGTTCACCTGCAATCAAAAAAACATTCTGGACTCCACCAATAATGGAATTGAATCAAACTTGGCACACAGAACTGTCATGACCAACAGAAAATACTGGAAGGGTTTTGGTTGGCGTTGACCTTGAATTTAGGAGTTGTAATTCACCTACATCCAGAAGTACTGTGGACTCAAACAATGATGGATCTGGACCAAACTTGGCAGAAATACTCAATATGCCCAAATGTGAACATTGGTGGAGTTTGGGAAAAATAGATCTTGACATTTGGGAGTTGTCGTAGCTGGAATTTATAGTTCACCCACAATCAAAGAGCCCCTTGAACCCCATTAACGATAGAATTGGCTCAAACTTCCCACACAGAACCCCATGACCAAGAGAAAATGCTGTGTTTTGGGTGGTCTTTGGTGACCCCTCTGACACCCTTGCAACCCCCCTCCCAGGGGTTACAACTCCCAGGTTGAGAAACACTGACTTAGGTGATCCCTTGTACCCCGAGGATGATGGTCCTCCAAGTGTAGTGTCTTGGCGGTGGGTCTGTAGGTGGCTGTGGAACCCTATTCTTAATCCACATGTTCTTCTGCAGTAAGAACATTGGTCTCCAGATAGAAGGCAGTTCCCGTCAGGGTTGGCTTGATGTGCCGTCATCTTGGTGCGTTTCTCCCTTTTGCCCTCCATTCATGCCTCTTCAAATTTTTCAGCACTGCTGGCCACAACCAATCTCCAGTTAAAATTCTCAAAGGCCAGGGCTTCCCAGTTCTTGGTGTCTATGCCACAGTTTTTAAGGTTGGGTTTAAGTCCATCTTTAAATCTCTTTTCCTGTCTACCAACATTACGTTTCCCATTCTTGAGTTGGGAGTACAGTAACTGCTTTGGGAGATGGTGATAGGGTATTCGGACAACGTGGCCAGTCCAGTGGAGTTGATGGCATAGGAGCATCGCTTCAATGCTGGTGGTCTTTGCTTCTTTCAGCATGCTGACATTTGTCCGCCTGTCTTCCCAAGAGCTTTGCAGGATTTTTCTGGTCTGCGCTGTGGAATGAATGTGGTTTGACCCCACTTGGCTCTATGCTACAGAATCATGGGACTCGTTCTGCAGAGTCTTTCACTTCTTTGCCAAAGAGTGCAACTCCTAGGATTGAGTCAAAATGGTGTCACACTGCATTCATCCCACAGTATAGGGCATCCTAGGGAAAAGGTGGGCCTGGGACATCCCATTCTGCCAACCAGCCATCTCCGGAATGTGTGTTTACTGGAACTTACTGTCCAGTTGTATATTTCACCCTCTAACTTGCAGCCAAAGACAGCAAATAAAAGTATGAGTGGTGTGTGTGTGGCAGAAAAAGAGAGAGAAACTGGGTAAACATTGAGGGAAGAGGTGTGGAATAGGGCAATGTTTGTGTTGGGATGTGTTTGAATTGAGAGTTAAGGGAACTAAGGGATCCATTCAATGTTTGTCCCAGTTAAGGGAGATATACTGAGATTAGTGGGATTTAGGTCCCAACCTCTTCAGGTCCCATTATTTTCAAAAAGGTCTCTTCAAGATAGGACCAGTGTTGGATTTACCCTGATCCATATCAAATTGATTTTAGATTTTTTTTTCGTGTCAGGAGAAACTTGAGAAACTGCAAGTCACTTCTGGTGTAAGAGAATTGGCTGTCTGCAGGGACATTGCCCAGGGGATGCCCAGATGTTGCACCAACCTGTGGGAGACTTCGCTCATATCCCCACATGGGAAGCTGGAGCTGACAGACAGGAGCTCACCTCTCTCCCCGGATTCGAACTGCCAAACTTTTGGGCAGCAGTCCTACTGGCACAAGAGTATAACCCATTGTGCCTCTGCAGCTCCATGGCTTCAAGTGATTCTAATTCTGTTATAGAGGTTTCTTGGCAGGATTTGGTTGGAACAGGTTTGCCACTGCTTTCTTCTAAGGCTGAGAGAGTGTGAGACCGCTCAAGATCACTCACCCAAAGGTTTTCTTGGCAGAGAATGAATCTGAACCCTGGTTTCCAAGAGTTGTAGAGGCCATCAACACTGCAGTATAACACCATTTTAACTGTTATGGCTCAATGTAAAGGAATATTGGGATTTGCAGTTTGGTGAGGCACTAGCACTCTTTGGCAGAGAAGGCAAAAAGATTTGGAAAACGATGCCTCCTGTGTTGCCATAGCATCAAGCCATGGCAGTTAAGATGGGGTCAAAGTGCATTAATCCTATAGTGTGGATGTACTCTTAGGGCTCCTCCACACAGCCCTATATCCCAGAATATAAAGGCAGAAAATCCCACATTATCTGAGTGTGGACTCAGATAACCCAGTTCAAAGCCGATATTGTGGGATTTTCTGCCTTGATATTCTGGGATATAGGGCTGTGTGGAAGAGCCCTCAGTCCTGCACTCACATCACTATTCCATAGGAGCCCCCGGTGGCACAGTGGATTAAACCCCTGTGCTGGCAGGACTGAAGACCGACAGGTCGCAGGTTCGAATCCGGGGAGAGGCGGATGAGCTCCCTCTATCAGCTCCAGCTCCTCATGCGGGGACATGAGAGAAGCCTCCCACAAGGATGATAAAAACATCAAATCATCCGGGCGTCCCTGGGCAACATCCTTGCAGACGGCCAATTCTCTCACACCAGAAGCGACTTGCTCCTGACACGACAAAAAAAAAAACCAAATCAGAGCTTTGAGTTCTAGGGCCCTTCCACACAGCCCTATATCCCAGAATATCAAGGCAGAAAATCCCACATTATCTGAGTATGGACTCAGATAACCCAGTTCAAAACAGATATTGTGGGATTTCCTGTCTTGATATTCTGGGATAAAGGGCTGTGTGGAAGGGCCCCCAGCCCCCTTCCACGGAGCTGAATAAAATCTCACATTATTTGCTTTGAATTGGAATATATGGCAGTGTGGACTCAGATATCCCAGTTCAAAGTGGTTATTGTGGGATTTTCTGCCTTGATATTCTGGGATATAGTGTTGTGTAGATGGGCCCTCAATGATACTTTACAGGACAGCAATACTATTATAGTGCCTCTGTCCATGTACAGTGTGCTTTTTCTTTTCTTTTCCCATTCCCAACCACTGTAACATACATTGGGTTAGAAAGGATGATGATGTTTCTAAGCGATGTAGCATCTGGGTAGGCTTGAGCAGTGGCTCCGTTCTTCATAGCAATGAGGCCCTGGCTGGCACTTCCTTGAGGAAATTCATAAACATAAGGCTTGCTGTGATGCTTTATGAAGTGCTGTGAACCAAAAGCAGGGTTCTGCTGTATTCCATGGAAATGGAAGCCTTATAAAACCAAAGACTTGTAAAAACAGACACAAGCAACATTATCAGGGAGCGATGTGTACATTTCAAAGTGATTGCGTTCCCGCTAAATCCTAAGAGAACACTGCTTTTCTTTTTCTCTGTTGAAAAAAAAAAAACTTAATGGTTAATGTTGTGGCTCCCAAATGTTTTCCTGAGATCTTTGGGAAGATAAAAGAAATGTTCCAGGCTCAACAAGAAACCCATGCAGACATGTGGCAGTAAAGTGTGGATCCAAGTTTCAATGGGCTGCCAGGATCAGTCTCCAGGGACAGTTTGGCAGGCTGCCGCTAGAATTTTATTGGCAGCAGTTACTCCTATAATGTGCTAGCATTTGACCTTCGTGTATAAAATATTCATTGCTCTCTCATCTCTAATTTACAGATATTCACCCCAAATCAAATTTTTCAGCATTTATTCTGCACTTCTCAAATGCAGTCAGAAAGGGTTCAGATGGAAGATCTAGAACACCAATGCAAACATAATACAGTACAAAGGAAAGCTCTCGTTTACATGTCTGTGTGGGTAATGTGTGAGAGAGATGATCGAAGCCATTAGTTGTCTGCGTGAATGAATGGTGCGAGTTGAATGAAATCCAAGTGCAGAAGCTATTGCCAGTTTAGTGGGTTATGAAATAGCAGTAAATCATGATTATACACACGCAATGCATTTAACACCAGTTCTCTTTCTCAGTTTCTGCTGCAGAGCATTGACACTATTTACTGTATTTTCAATCATCTCCTCTCTTCCTTGCAGAAGTCCTATGAGCATATGGCAAAAATCAGAATGGCAAGAGAAGCTACTCCAGAATGCAACTGCCCACCAGGTAAATGGGAACAGCTGGAAAACACTCCCTTATAACCATACAACATCTGTGCATTTGCAGTCGTTGAACATGGTATAGATATGCTCTCCTTTAAAAAGTTGGGTGATGGTGAAGGAAGGTTTGAAAGTAAACTTAATCCGGACAAGACAGAGGTCTTCCTGGTCTTCTTGGTCAGTCGTGAGGCCAATCGGGGTATAGGGTGGCAACCTGTGCTCGATGGGGTTACACTCCCCCTGAGGACACAGGTCTGCAGTCTGGAGGTCCTCCTAGACTCAGTGCTGACGCTTGAGGCTTAGGTGTTGGCAGTGGCTGGAAGGATCTTTCCACAGTTACAGCTTGTGTGCCAGTTGTGACTTGATAAGCCTGACTTGGCCATGGTGGTCTACATCTTAGTTACATCCATAATGGACTACTGTAATGCACTCTATGTGGGGCTGCTTTGAAGACAGTTCAGAAACTGCAGCTGCTGCAAAGGTAGGCTGCCAGATTACCAACTGGAGCTAGCTACAGGGAACATACTACTCCACTGCTGAAGCAGCTTAACAAGTTCCAACAAGTTTCCAGGCTCAATTCAAGGGGCAAGTTATTACCTTTAAAGCTCTATATGCTTTGGGTCCAACCTATCTTCCAACAAATTTTCTTGGCTCAATTCAAGGTGCAAGTTATTACCTATAAAGCTGTATATGCTTTGAGTCCAACCTATTTTTGAGACCACATTTTTTCTATGAAATGGCGTGGGCTCTGAGATTGACAGGGGAGTCACTTCTCTCAGTCCCACCACTGTCTCAAGCACGGTTGGTGAGGATGAGAGAGAGGGCCTTCTCTGTGGTGGCCCCCCGGCTCTGGAGTACCCTCCCAAAAGAGATTAGATTAGCTCCCACCCTTCAGTACTTGGCACCTTGTGAATTGATGGCAGTTAGTTTTATCTACTGTTGTTTTAAAATTGTGTTCTTTTGATTTTATGCTAAATGTGTTGTTGAGGGTTGTTGTTATAATTTTATGTGACTTGTTTTGCACTTTTGTACTATTTTTACCAGTTGTATGTTATATGTGCATCCTGGAGTGCCTTGTAAGTCCCTTCAGGGAGATTATTATTAACATGTTAGAGTAGTTTTTGTCCTCTGAAAGTTGGAATTGGCAGCAGAAAGAGTGACGTAGGTTGCAACCATGTATCCATTTACCTAGAAATAGGTCCCCATGAACTCAATGGGTCTTTTACCTGTAGCGATAACCTTATCAACATATAATGGCAGCCATAAGCTTAGTATGTGGAAGATCTGGCACTTTTGAGCACAATATTGCCATGATTCATTTAGAAAAAAAGGATTGTATTAAAGAGGGGTGAGTGTCTTGAAATCATATAACGTGCATTAAAGTCCTGGCTTAAATTGTTTGAATCTCTGCAATATGATCTTAAGTATACAAATTGAAAATTAAATCACAGTTGGAGTTCTCCCTAATGACTTTATCTTTGAGTTGCGGTCTGATATTGTAATCCCATATTTACTTACCTGGGAATCAGCATCTTTTAATTTAGTGGTCTTTTTCCCCCTACCCTAAAGTAAAACTGTATAGTATTGCTGTGTGAGGCTGAAATCACACACATAGTTGTTTGGGATGAAACTCCATTGAACACAATGACTTTTAATCTTTTAAATGATGGAAAGACATACATTTAATAGAGCTATTTGGTTTGCATCAGTGGCTGTTCCCCCCTCTTGCCTGACTGTTCTGAACAGACCAATATGTTAAATACATCAGACAGTTAAACACAGATGCAAAACTAATTTTAGTGCTTGGTTTCATTTTGTGTTAAAGAATATATAAACATTTGGGTTACTGTTTCCTTCATCATTATGCCGGGATATTTTACCAAGTGACTGCATGTCTCATGTTGTATGTCATTATTCAGATTATGAAATCACTACTGAAATGCATTAACTTCACTGGAAATATTTTGCAAGCAACCATTTAATGTTGGATTTTCTAAACACAGGTTCAGTATTTTGTAACGGTTTATGATTTTCTTGCTGCACATCTCTTTGTAGAAGGTCTAAGTGATGCAGTTTCTGCTTAGTTTTCTGCAGCGTTCTCTTGGGTGTATTTAGATGTTATCAGAGGAATAGCCTGTTTTCCCCAAGCTTCTAGAAACTAGCATTGCCTGTAAAATAAGTTGCAGGTACTTGTATATGCTGTGTCCCATATTAAGTTAAAGAACAGCATAGAATATGGGATAGCTGTGAGTAAGTTCTTTGACCTTCTAACGTTCTGGCAGCTGGTAGGTTTATTAGATGCTTATTGGGAACAAGTTGTCTCAGTTGTAGAACCTCCTAAACTTTAAGATGCAATTTCTGGGGAGCAGGTACAGAGTTCTGATTCTGTTCTCAGGTATACTGCCCAAGTGGTTCTTTGTAATGGAAACAACTACACCTAAGAAGATATTTGTTATAGGCATATTTACTGCAAAACATTCATACGGTACAAGGCACTTATCCAAGGATTCAATATCCATGACTTCACTTACATATGTTCCAAAAACTGCCCTTTGAAATCTTTGTGGGCCTCACTAGGGACCTTAACGCATTAGCTGCTGGATTCACCACATATCATAGTGAATCTGTCAGGGTCCGGCTTGGGGCATGAGGAACCTGTCACCCCATGCCCCACATTGCCTGGCTTCCTTATCCTTTTCCATGGGGGGAAGCAGCCACCACCTGACTTCCCCCCATTGCTGCCAATGCAACATATGAAACCTCCTGTGTTGCCATGGTGGCGGCACACAATGCTCCCACTTCCCTTTTACTACAGAGTCTCACCAGAAGTAGTTAGGCATTGTGGGATGGGATCCAGTGAGCTTTGTGGCACAAGTGGACCATTGTATGCCATTGAATTTAGCCTGTCTGATGAGGTTTTAGGTTATCCAGCGCATTCTATGGAATGCTTCAAACCCAAGAATAGTCAAAATTATCCCTACTATCCATGTTTTCAGATACTCATGGATAGGCCCATAGCCAGGATACCCATGGACAGGCCCATAGCCGGGGGGGGGGGGGGGGGGGGGGCTGAGTCTGAGCGAAAGAGGGTCTACCCTAGCAAACCTTTTATATTGTTACCCCAGTACCCCCATGCATATGGGATATATTGAGTATGGTGATCAGATCATGATATGAATAAACATAACAGTTTAAATAATGCACCAGTAAGGCCTTCTCGCGGACCACCATGAGAATTTGGGGGGGGGGGGGCGAAGCCGGATATGGGGGTGGATGGGGGTGGGGGTCGTATAGTATAAGCATGTGTGGTTGTGGGGATAGTCAGTGAGCCTGACACCAGATCATGTAATATATCATGAACACTTCATATATGACTCACAGTGCAGTGGCTGCTACAGGATGATGGAACCTCTGAAAATGCAATTATTTTTAAACTTTATCTAGTGATATGTTTTTCCCAAAGTGTAGTAATCTGCAACCAGTTGTGCTTCTTTACAATGTCTACCTATTTATTTATTTATTTATTTATTTACTTCACTTGTATACCGCCATTCTCAGCCCTAAGGCGACTCATAGCGGTTTACAACAGTCAAGCACAAACAAAGCGAACAATCAATGCAAAAATTCAATGCGGTATCAACAGGTAATTAAAAACAGTTAACAGAAGAACAAGTTAACAATAATAGACAATCAATCAATTGGCGTCTCATAACTAGAATCATGATCCAAACTCGTCAGTCGTAGTTCCATTTCCTAAAATTCATTGCACTTTTTATTCAGACGCCTGTTCGAATAACCAAGTCTTCACTCTTCTCCGGAATACCATCAATGAGGGAGCCAATCTGATGTCCGTGGGCAGGGCGTTCCACAGCTGAGGGGTCACCACCGAGAAGGCCCTGTCTCTCGTCCCCGCCAGCCTATTGTCCTAATTCCAACAGACCTCACTACCTCTGAGGATGCTTGCCATAGATGCAGGTGAAACGTCAGGAGAAATGCCTCTAGAACATGGCCCTATAGCCCGAAAAAACCCACAAGAACCTATATTATTGTTGTTTAGTGCCCTTAAGCCATTTCTGACTTGTGACCATTTAAAGGTGAGCATATCATGTTTAGTGTACCTGGTATGATTTGTTCAGAGGGGGCATTTGCCTTCCTCTGAGGTTGAAAGAGTATGACTTGTTTAAGATCACCAGTGGGCTTCCATTGCCAAATGAGGATCTGAACTCTTATTTCCAAGACTTAAACTACTGTTCCAAGCTACCTGTATGCAATGCTTATTTGCAACTACAGATTTGTTAGACTCATACTTTACATCTCTAGAGGTATACTTCAAATATTTTGAGTTACACTAAACATGCAGTGTCTGAATTGGCTTTTACTGCAATGACTAGTGCCAATATTTGAGCTTCTTGTTATCATTTTCAACAGTGTTGACATCTCTTTGGAAGTGAGCTACAGTCAGAGACTCATTTTGGTAATCATGTTGGTCCTACAGACAAACGAAACAAAGCAAGTGAGATGATTCAGTTTATTGGCACAACTACATTTTCAAACCATGGAAGCATAAACATTCAAGTAACATAAAACTCTTTTTTAAAATCCAAAACAAATGTTTTATGGCAGGTGACTAATGTCACAAAACATTTGTTTTGGGAGAAAAGGAGTTTTGCTTTTTTATAGAAGCAGAGGTGATTGTTCAGAGCAACATTTATGTTTGAAGATGCATTCTGTATAACTATGTTAACACTCCCCAGCTCGGGTTCGCAAACATTTTGCTAGGCTTTGAGTCAGTCATTGTCTTTCATAAATGTTACAATCTCACATGTTGATTTTTTTCTCATTAAGTTTTCTTATGAAGTTGAAGAACGAGTACTTCCATCACAGTTCTGTGCATCGGGCCTGGATACAATTCAGAATTATAGAATCATAGTGTTGGAAGAGACCACATGGGCCATCTAGTCCAACCCCCTGCCAAGCAGAAAGAGTGGTCAAAGTACCCCTGACAGC